AGAGAGAGAGACATAGAGAATAAAAGAAAAAAAATATCGATCACTATAATCAAACGATTTCATTAGAAGAACTATAGGTAAAAAATTTTCTTTTTCTTTTCTTTCTTCTTCTTCTTTTTTCAGAAAAAAAGAACTCGACAAAACCCTCAGATGATGATCTCTCAAAGTTGATCACCCCCTATTCTTTCTATTTTTACTGTAAAAAAAAAGAATGAGTCAAAGAAAATAGGTAAAGAAGAAATAAATCAAAAGAAGTGAATCCCACGATCATTCGATCATTGTGTTAGGTAAAGGGGGATAGAAAGGAATTAGGGCTGGCAAGTTCAGGATTCTTTGAGGGGGTTGGTGGTGGTGGTGGTGGTAAACGAAGGAGATGGTACTTTATATTAGATTTGCTATCGTCAAAGTCGAAATATATATAGGGGGATGGAAAAAAAGGTGTGTAAAAGAAATGTAAAATGAAAGAATGAAAGAGAGGGGTGAAGAGGAAAGTGGGAAAGAGAAAGAGAGAGGTAGGAGATATATCCTCGGTCGAGTTGACGAGAAACTGGTGGCCAAGGGGGATGGGGATGGGGATGGGGTTGGGGTTGGGGGTTGGGGGTTGGGGGAGGAAACGGTAGAGAGACCGGAGGTATTGATTGCGACGCGGGTCTAGGAACCTGTCCGATACACGACCGCGCTTCTACCTACCTACCTACCTACCTACCTACCTGGCTGCTTGCTTTGCTTGCTTGCTTTGCTTGCTTGCTTGCTTGCTTGCTTGCTTGCTTGCTTGCTTGCTTGCCTACACCCATGGATCAGGCCGATTATGCCCTCCGTAGTTCTCCTCTTATTCTACCCTTCCTTCCTTCCTTCCTTCCTTTCTCTTCTCTTCTATATTCTACTCTACTCTACTCTTTCTCATACTTCATCGTCGTCTTTCTAAGCATTCACGTGCAACTAACGTTATATATATGTATATAATCTATGTGTATATAATATATGTAAAAGTAAATAATGTATATAGTATACATGATATGTAGATATAGATACATGAATATCTATACAATCATGTATGGAATATATGTACAAATATATAATATATAGATATTAAAATCATATGTATATATGTGAGTTGATTCAGAACCAAATATATATATGTGTGTGGATAATATAGATATAGATACATGAATATCTATACAGTCATGTATAGAATATATGTACAAATATATAATATATAGATTTTAAAATCATATGTTTATATGTGAGTTGATTCAGAACCAAATATAGTTAAATATATGATATATATATATATATGTGTGGATAATATAGATATAGATACAGATATAGATAGATATATAGGTATATATAAAGTCATATATATATATATATATATATATATAAGTATACATGATATAGATTTAGATGTAGATACAGTTATAGATCTGGATATAGATATATATATGTGTGTATGTGAGTCGATGCAGAAGCCAATATGGTTAAATCCATTTTTTGATATTTTCTAATTATTGTAAATATTTTAATGTCACAAAATAATATTGTTCTCTTCTTTTTTTTTAAATTATTAAACGATTTACTGAAATGTGTGAAGGATTAACTAAAAAAAGACTTTAGATCAAATGAATAAATGAAATGCAATAAAAATGTTGGAAATCAATTGATTATAAAATAGATATAAGTTTTCTAATCAAATGAATGAAATGCAAAATGTTCTTCTTCTCTCTTCAAATACAATTAATTGTAAAATATATATTTTTCGTTTTCTTAATTTAACTGCATTGGCTTACAAGCGACTCATATATACATATAACACATAACACCTGTACTCAAAGAAGAATATATATTTAATACACAATATATATATATATATATATATATATATATATATATGTAGATATATATGTAGGTGTATAGATCGACATAGAGACAGGTGGAGTTTTAAAACGTGGAGAGTGAGAGAAGCGCACGCGCCAGCTGAAGTAGTTGCAACTTATCACTGAAAGTGCCGAACGAACGTGCAAGCGCATAGATAGGAAAACGGTGACGCTCGAATCGATCGATTTCTATCGCTCCTGGCACCATTCGACGATACCACCAGCCTACTACACCTCGTTTCTCCTTGGCGAACGTTAATCGTTTCAACATTTTTTTCCATCTCTTTTTTTCTTTTTCTCTCTTTTGTAGATTTATTTATTTTTTTTTTACAAAT